TGTCAGTCTGTGTGTCAGTCCGTGCGTCAGTCCGTGTGTCAGTCCGTGTGTCAGTCCGTGTGTCAGTCCGTGTGTCAGTCCGTGTGTCAGTCCGTGTGTTTAGTCCGTGTGTCAGTCCGTGTGTCAGTCCGTGTGTCAGTCCGTGTGTCAGTCCGTGTGTCAGTCTGTGTCAGTCCGTGTGTGTTGGGGAGCGGTGGTGTCGCGGTTAGCGCTACGCTGCGCTCCGAACCCGGCGACCCGGGTTCCAATTCCCGCTCAACACGGGTGACGATTATCTGAAGCGGTCCTGGGCCTCGCCTAGGTCGACTCGGCCTCAAATTAGTACCTGGTGCGATGTGTAAGCTTCGCCACTGGAGAGACAAAGGCGGCCGGGCGTGGCGTTGACCACCCACCCCCTTGTGTGCTGTGCCGGCCTTCATAGGTGCTACTCGCTAACAGCACTCGCCCCAACAGTCTGTTAAGGCTGTATGGGGGATCTTTGTACGTGTCTTTGTATTTGTGCATGAGTCCGTGTAAGTAAGTGGTCTGTGTGCGGGTGTACGTGTCTGTATATGGGTTTGTGTATGTTTATACTGTACTGTATATGTGTGTCAGTGTGTCTTTGTGTGTGAGTATGTGGATTAGTGTGTGTGAGCCACTTTGTGTGAGAGAGTGTGTGTGTGTGTGTGCGCCGGGCCGACCTTCATAGGTGCTACTCGCTAACAGCACTTGCCCCAACAGTCTTGTCAAGGCTAGAAGGGGGATCTTTGCCTTTGTTTAAATACCGTACGTGTCAGTGAGAGTGTGCGAGTGTGTGTCTGTGTGGGGGGAGCGGTGGGTGTTGCGGTTAGCGTGTTGCACTTCGAACCCCACGACCCAAGGTTCGTTTTTCCCGCTCACGGCCACCACCAACACCGCTGATCGATCATCGGAACCGGTCGCGGGCTTTCCCTAGGTCGGCCTCAAACGAGTACCTGGTGTGGTGCGTGAAGACATCGCCACTGGGGGAGACAAAGACGGCCGGGTCGGAGCTGGCCACCCACCCCCCTCGTGTGCCATGCCGGCCCTCATAGGTGCTGCTCGCTAACAGCGCTTGCCCCTACCGCAGTCTGTTGAATCTTGATTGGAAGCTTTCGTGACTGCAGGAATACATACTCTTTGGTTCTTTCGGTCAAGTCACGTGGTAGGTATAAAATAAAATAAATGACGACGTTTCGGGCGCAACGCAACAGTCTGTTGAAGGCTGTACGGTGGTGGACGGGGGGGTGGTATTTGTATCTGTGTGCGTGTTTTCCAGTCACCTCGGTCATTTAAACCGACCGTCCGGTCTGTCCCACAACCTCCCGTCACTTGACGTGTGTACCCCAAAGCGAACCTAGCCTGGCACAAGCGCCGCTACTCCCTAGCGAGTGGTGACGGTGTCCGTGTGTGCGCGAATGTGTCCGTGTGTGCGCGAATGTGTCCGTGTGTGCGTGCGCGGGGAACAGTGGCGCAGCGGTTAGCTCGCCCCTCTACGAAAGCGAGTTCAATTGCCGGACACTGCCGCCGCCAGCGACAGCGATTATCTGAACCCGATCTTGGGCCTCCCCTAGGTCGGCTCCGCCTCAAACGAGCACCTGGCGCGGTGTGTGAACATCGGCACTTGGGAGACAAAGGCGGCCAGGGCAGGCGCTGGTTGTTGCTGGCCACCCACCCCCTCGTGTTGCCGTGCCGGGCCTTAATATGTGCTAGCGAACAGCACTTGCCCCAACAGGCTCTTAAGGCTATGTGGGGGATATTTGTGGTTTGAGTGTGTGTGTGTGTGTATGTGTGAGAATGTGTGAGTTCGATTTCCCGCTCGCAGCCAACACCAGTGATGGTTGTTTGAACCGGTGCTGGGCCTCATCCAGGTCGACTCGGCCTCAAATGAGTACCTGGCATGGTGTGTGAGCATTGCCACTGGGGAGACAAAGGCGGCCGGGGCAGGCGTGGCGGTTGCTGGCCAACCCCCACCCCCTCGTGTGCCATGCCGGCCTTCATAGGTGCTGCTGCTACTTGCTAACAGCTCTTGCCCCCAACAGCCTTTGTGGGTTATATGGGGGTTCTTTGCCTTGTTGCATGCATGTATATATATAGTATCTGATTCTTGACGCCACTAGCCCAGACCGGTTGAGTGTGATGTCTCCATGCTCACGATCATCGTGATGGTGTATCTGCCTGTTTGTCTGCCTGTGTCCATCTGCCTGTCTGTCTCTCTGTTTGTGTGTCTGTCCCACGCCTCTGTTTCTTTGCCATTATGTCTGGCTGCCTCTCTCCCTCTCTGTCCATCTCTCTCTCTGTCTCTCTCACTCCATCCTTCTCTCTGTCTCTGGGGTGTGTGTTTCTGAGTTTGTCTTTTGTTTTTTTTGTCTCTTGTGTGGCTTACCCTGTCTCCCTGGGTGTGTCTTCGCGTTTCCATATGTTCCTGTGTCTCCATATCTCCATGGCAACGTTGTCCCTATGTTCCCGTGTCCCTGTGTCCCCATATCCATGTGTTCCCTTGTCCCCATGTCCCCATGTCCCCATGTCTCCATGTCCTCGTGTCTGCGAATCCCCTCCTCTATCCATGTCCCCATGTTCCCATGTCCCCTTGTCTCCATGTCCCCTTCTCCTCGTGTCCCCTTGCCCCCTTCTCTCCAAGTCCGCGAGTCTCAGTGTCTCCATCTCCCCGTGTCCCCTTCTCTCCATGTCCGCGAGTTTCCGTGTCTCCAAGTCCCCGTGTCCTCGTGTCTCCTCCATCTCCCCGTGTCCCCTTCTCCCCAAGTTCGCGAGTCTCCTTGTCTCCATGTCCGCTAGTCTCCGTGTCCCCTTGTCTCCTCCATCTCCCCGCGTCCCCTTCTCCCCATGTCCGTGAGCCTCAGTGTCTCCATGTCACCGTGTCCGCCAGTGTCTCCTCTCCATCTCCCCGTGTCCCCTTCTCCCCATGTCCGCGAGTCTCCGTGTCTCCGTGTCTCCATGTCACCGTGTCCGCCAGTGTCTCCTTCTCCGTGTCCCCGCGTCCCCTTCTATCCGTGTCCCCACGAGCGTGTGGTATATTTAGTGTTTAATGACCACCGCAGCTCTAGTATTTTGGGATCCCAGAGGCAGCCGTCGGCCCGCGGCGAGAGGGCAGAGGGCGGCGGAAAAGGGCGGCAGCGGCAGCAAAGGGCAGCTGGCCATCGAGGCAGCTGGGAAGTTCGCGAGGTTCACGATGACCACGTCAGGTTCACAATGGCCGCGTCGGAGAACGCGTGGCGGCACAGCAGAGACCCTGGGGTTCAGTGCCTGGGTCTGGGTGTCGTCTCTCTCTCTCTCTCTTTCTCTGTGGGGTTCGGGAGGGGGAGGCGGAGGAGCCGGTGGGGTGGGGGGTAAGGGTCATGGGGGGCTGGTCGAAGGTCACGCAGGGTCAAACCTGTCTCTTCACCCCCTCGGGTTCGTGGGTCACGTTGGGGTCACGGGATCAAGCTCGGGGGGGAATGTGACGGGGAGACAAACGAGGGGGGATATGGAGGGGAGGGGGTGGAGGGGGGCAGAATGGAACCCTGGAAAAGCCGCGAGCGATCGATGTAGCCCAGTGCTCTTCATTGCGAGGCCCGCGGTCTCACTGGCGGCCCCTGCTGGCCTTCAGCGTGGGCCCCTGACGTGCGGGCCCCCCCCCATGACAATACACAAATAGTGAAGACACCCAAAACCCATCGTCGTCATTGTGCTGCTGTCACTGATCCCCAATGGTTTCAAACGGTGCGGCGGCTCCCGCTCACACACCGGTGATGTCTAAGTGGCGGAAGTGGTAAGCCCCCCCTCCACCCCCCCACCCAACTCTCTGAAAACGAGTGGAGATCACCGCCCTCGGTCAGGGGGAGAGAGACACCGCAAAGTCTAAATGCACGGCAGGCGTCAGGGTCGGGATCGAACCCACGACCTCCTGTATACCGGGCGAGGTAGTTAACATCTCCTAGCCACCGTGATGATGATGAGAGAGAGAGAGAGAGACGCGTAAACTCCAAATATACAGCAGGTTTCAGGGTTGGGATCAAACCCGCGACGTCCTGTATAACGGGCGAGGTAGTTAACATCTCATAGCCACCGTGATTATGATGACAGAGAGAGAGACACGCAAACTCCAAATATACAGCAGGTTTCAGGGTTGGGATCAAACCCACGACCTCCTGTATAACGGGCGAGGTAGTTAACATCTCCTAGCCATCGAGGCGCCCAGTCACCATCTCCTGGCTCGTAGGCAGGAGATGGAGGCAGTACAGCAAGTGGGATTGCTTCACATCCGTACGGGGACTGAGCCTTACCCACCCCCCTCCTCCCTCCCACTCACACGGCGCGTTGTTCCTTCCGGCTCTACTCCCGGTTCTCCCCCGGCCGTCTGGAGCGCGCTAGCTCCTTCCGAGATCGGCAAGCACACCGGGTGCTCCGGCACTTTCACGTCTCGCGTCCGTGCTGCTGTCAAACCCAATTTGGTACCGATGAGTGGCGTCCGTCACTTAGACCGGTGACGTCTTGTCGCAAAACGAGGGAAGGCCGGTCGGTGTAACGAGTCGGGGCTGGGCGTGCGAGAGCTCGTCCTGAGGAGGAGTCTTCAACGGGGGGAGGTTGGGGGGGGGGGGGTTGGCTCTGAGGGTTTGTAACGAGGGCCGTGTGGTCGAGGATTTGTGTGCCCGTGGGTTTGAGCCCCTGGGTCTGGGCGTCTCTCTCTCTCTCTGTCTCATTCTCATGGGAGGGGGTGCGTTGGGGGGAGAGGGGGGGTCATAATGTCCGTGTCAGGGATGCTTGAGCTATCACCGCTGACATTCTTGGTTCCGGGAGGCCTGCGTCTGGGTGCGAACAGAGGTTCGTAACGGCCGTCTCGTGTTTATAGTGGCCGCGTTGGAAAGGCACTGCCGAGATCCGTGGTTCTAAAAACGTATCCGTAACCCCCCGTGTGCGTCTCCCCCCGTGTCTCCCCCCCATCATCTCCCAATCCCCGCTCCCCCCTCGGGCGTCTCTCCCTCGGCGTCTCCCCTCGCGTGCAGGGAGAGGAGTTACCGGCCCGGCACCGACGGTACACGACCGCCCGTCCCGGGCCCAGCTGCGTCTCCCTGCCGTGTATCACCTGACACGCACGTCCGGCGGCGCAGACGGTACGTCGACACAATTTATTTTTCACGGCCGAGTCTACCCGGAGGTGGCCCGGTTCGCCGGCCTCGCCGTCCGTGTCGAGAGGCTCGCTCGTGTGCGTGCGCAGGGCAACAGCGGGGCTAGCGCTGCGCTGCGCCACGAACCAGGCGGACCCGAGTTGGATTCCCGCTCACGGCCGCCAAAAACACCGGTGACGATTTTCTGAACCGGTCACGGGCCTACATCTTAGGTCGACTCGGCCTCAAACGAGTGACTGGTGCGGTTGTGTAAACATCGCTGCAAGGGAGACAAAGGCGGTCGGGCGTTGTGTTTTGGCCACCCACCCCCCTTCGTGTGCCACAGTGCCGGCCTTCACAGGTGCTGCTCGCTAGCAGCACTTGCCCCTGCAGTCTGTTCAGGCTACACGGAGGATCTTTGTCTTTGTGTATACGTGTGTGTGTATACGTATGTGTGTATACGTGTATACGTGTGTGCGTGTACGTGTATACGTGTGTGTATGTGTGTGTATACGTGTGTGTGTATACGTGTGTGTGTGTATACGTGTGTGTGTGTACGTGTGTGTACGTGTGTACGTGTGTGCGTGTGTGTGTATACGTGTGTACGTGTGTGTGTATACGTGTGTACGTGTGTACGTGTGTGTGTATACGTGTGTGTGTACGTGTATACGTGTGTACGTGTATACGTGTGTACGTGTGTGTGTATGCGTGTGTACGTGTGTGCGTGTGTGTGTCGACCCCGCCGCGCTAATTGATCGTCGTTAGTGTAGAGGTCGACACGACCTCAGACGCGGTCACAGCCTCCTCCCCCTCCCCCGCGGATGAGAGGGGGGGGGGCAGGGGGGTGACGCAGGGGGATGGGGGGGGACGTTGGGGGGGGGTTCACGGGGGGACCCGGTGGGGGTGACGTGGGAGGCACGTGGGGGGGTGACATTGGGTGGACGCGGGGGGGGTGACATTGGGGTGACGTTGGGGGGGTGACATTGGGTGGACGCGGGGGGGTGACACGGGGGAGACGCAGGGGGGGGGTGACGTGGGGGGGGTTACATGGGGGGGAGGAGGGGGGGCGCCAGGAGGTGACGTGGGGGGACACGGGGGGGGGGGTGATACTCAGACAGAAATAGGGAGACATAGAGACACAGGATGTGTGTTGAGTTTGTGTGTGTTAACCTTAGTGTGTGTGTTCGAGTTAGTGTGTGATCGTGTTTGTTAGCGCGAGTCTGTGTTCAGGGTAAATGTGTTGCTGTGTGTGTGGTTACTTGTGCGTTCTTGTGTGTGTCTGTATGTACACAGAGACACATGATGTGTGTTGACTTTGTGTGTGTTAACCTTAGTGTGTGTGTGTTCGAGTTAGAGTGTGTGATCGTGTTTGTTAGCGCGAGTCTGTGTTCAGGGTAAATGTGTTGCTGTGTGTGTGGTTACTTGTGTGTGTCTGTATGTACACAGAGACACAGGATGTGTGATGAGTTTGTGTGTGTTAACCTTAGTGTGTGTGTGTTCGAGTTAGAGTGTGTGATCGTGTATGTTAGCGCGAGTCTGTGTTCAGGGTAAATGTGTTGCTGTGTGTGTGGTTACTTGTGTGTGTCTGTATGTACACAGAGACACAGGATGTGTGATGAGTTTGTGTGTGTTAACCTTAGTGTGTGTGTGTTCGAGTTAGAGTGTGTGATCGTGTTTGTTAGCGCGAGTCTGTGTTCAGGGTAAATGTGTTGCTGTATGTGTGTGTGGTTACTTGTGCGTTCTTGTGTGTGTCTGTATGTACGTGTGTGTGTGTGTACGTGTGTGTGTGTCTGTATGTACGTGTGTGTGTGTATACGTGTACGTGTGTGTGTATACGTGTACGTGTGTGTGTCTGTATGTACGTGTGTGTATACGTGTACGTGTGTGTGTGTCTGTATGTACGTGTGTGTGTGTCTGTATGTACGTGTGTGTGTACATGTACGTGTGTGTGTACATGTACGTGTGTGTGTACATGTACGTGTGTGTCTGTATGTACGTGTGTGTGTGTTTACGTGTACGTGTGTGTATACGTGTGTCTGTATGTACGTGTGTGTGTGTATACGTGTACGTGTGTGCGTATACGTGTACGTGTGTGTGTGTCTGTATGTACGTGTGTGTGTACGTGTGTGTGTGTGTATACGTGTACGTGTGTGTGTACATGTACGTGTGTGTCTGTATGTACGTGTGTGTGTGTATACGTGTACGTGTGTGTATACGTGTGTCTGTATGCACGTGTGTGGGGAGCGGTGGCGCGGTGGTTAGCTCACCGTGCTGCGAACCCAGCGACCGGAGTTCATTTCCTGCCCACGGCCGCCGCCCCCAACACCGTTGACTATTATCGGAAATTGTCGTGGGCCTCCTCGAGGTCGACTCGGCATCAAATGGGTACTCGGCACGTTGTGTTTACGTCGCCTCTAGGGAGACAAAGACGGCCGGGCTGGCGTGGTTCTGGCCACCCACCCCCTCGTGTGCCACTGTGCCGGTGTTCATGCGTTGCTGCTCGCTACCAGCACTTGCCCCCCCCCCCTCCAAGCAGTCTGTTAAAGGTTATCCGAGGGACCTTTGTCTTTGGGCAACGCGCCCTCCCCGGCTGCCTTTTTGTCGTCGCGACCGCGAGGCCGCTGTCGGCGTGACCTCACCGCCGCTGTCGGCGTGACCGCGCGCCCTCCCCCCCCCTCTCTCCTCCTCCTCCTCCTGCTGCTGTGGTCATAGACCACCACCCCCACCACCACCACCTTACCACCCCGGATACAATGACAACAAAATCCGGACTTAGAAATCAACTTCCAGACGACGCCGCCGATCGCGGCAACAGGACGGTGTGTGTACTCGTGCTGTGAGGGAAATCCGATGAGCCGTGAGGCTCTTTTTCCCCCACGGGCGTCCAGTAGCTTGACGGGCGACGATGACGATGGCGAGGATGAGTCGCGTGAATGTCGGTAGGACCGGCCCCTCGCGCCTCATCTGTGTCGACACGCGCGTCCTTTAAAAAAGGGGGGACCCCCCCCCCCCCCCCCCCCCCCCCCCCAGCAGAAGCCGCCACAGTGTGTCGCCAGCGGGCGTCACTCCGCTGCCAGTAGTTGGGGGGGGCGATGGCTGCTGTCGTGACACGTGTGTGCGTGTGTGCGCGTGTGTGTGTGTGTGCTGCTGTCGTGACACGTGTGTGCGTGTGTGTGTGCGTGTGTGTGTGTGTGATTCCAGTTGAGTAACTTGCGGTGTGGTTTTTTTTCTGATATTGAAAAATGTGCTTGTTGCGTGTATCGTGGTTAATGTGTGTGGTGTATGTGTTTAGTGTGTGTGTGTCGGGAGTAGTGTGTGTGTGTAGGGTTAAGGTGTGTGTGTGTCGGGAGTAGTGTGTGTGTGTCGGGAGTAGTGTGTGTGTGTGTAGGGTTAAGGTGTGTGTGTCGGGAGTAGTGTGTGTGTGTAGGGTTAAGGTGTGTGTGTAGGGTTAAGGTGTGTGTGTGTGTAGGGTTAAGGTGTGTGTGTCGGGAGTAGTGTGTGTAGGGTTAAGGTGTGTGTGTCGGGAGTAGTGTGTGTGTGTAGGGTTAAGGTGTGTGTGTCGGGGGGAGTGTCTGTGTAGGGTTAAGGTGTGTGTGTGTGTTGGGGGAGTGTGTGTGTAGGGTTAAGGTGTGTGTGTGTGTGTCGGGAGTAGTGTGTGTGTGTAGGGTTAAGGTGTATGTGTCGGGAGTAGTGTGTGTGTAGGGTTAAGGTGTGTGTGTCGGGAGTAGTGTGTGTAGGGTTAAGGTGTGTATGTCGGGAGTAGTGTGTGTGTGTCGGGAGTAGTGTGTGTAGGGTTAAGGTGTGTGTGTCGGGAGTAGTGTGTGTGTGTAGGGTTAAGGTGTGTGTGTTGGGGGGAGTGTGTGTGTAGGGTTAAGGTGTGTGTGTGTGTGTTGGGGGAGTGTGTGTGTAGGGTTAAGGTGTGTGTGTCGGGAGTAGTGTGTGTGTAGCGTAAAGGTGTGTGTGTTGGGGGTAGTGTGTGTGTGTTGGGGTTTGTGTGTGTGTGTTGGGGGTAGTGTGTGTGTAGCATTAAGATGTGTGTGTTGGGGGTAGTGTGTGTGTGTTGGGGGTAGTGTGTGTGTGGAGGGTGAAGGTGTGCATGTAGCATTAAGGTGAGTGTAGGGTTAAGGTGTGTGTGTCGGGGGTAGTGTGTGTGTGTTAGGGGGTTGTGTGTGCGTGTGTAGCGTTAAGGTGTGTGTGTGTGGAGGGTTAATGTGTGTGTGTGTACGTTAATCCCAATAGCCCCGTAATTAATTGGCTTGTGGAGGGGGTCACTGTATCTCATTACTCCTAAATTAATTAGACGCTGCGTCAAGCAGAACCAACGACACGGACACACTTGCTCACCCGCTGACTCACCCACACACTCGCTCGCTCACCCACCCCCTCACTTGCTTGCTCACCTGTTTGCTCACTCAGCCACTCGCTCGCTCACTCACTCACGCGCTTATTCATCCACCTGCTCGCTCACCCGCTCACTCACTCACCCACCCACTCATTCACTTATCCGCTCACCCGTTTGCTCACCCGTCCGCTCGCTCACCCGCCCACTCGCTCGCTCACTCACCAACCCGCTTGCTCACCCGCTCACTCACCCACCGGCTCACTCCTTTACTCACCCACTCATTCACTCACTCATCCACTCACCCGTTTGCTCACCCATCCGGTCACTTACTCAGCCACTCATTCGCCTACTCACCCACTCGCCGACCTGCTCAGAGCAAAATGCTTCGCAAATTTCAGGCATGGTTGCACGTGAGTTGCGCTTGGGTTGCTCGTAAGATGAGCACGCGTTGTACACGTTGAACGTGAGTTGCACATGAGTTTGACGCGCGTTTGCCACCAAGTTTCACGCAAGTTGCTTGTTAGTTGCTTGTTAGTTACACGTGAGTTGCACGCGAGTTGCACGTGAGTAATCAGAATCACAACCCCCGGTCCAGGTAACGAGCAGCCCCGACTGGGGTCATTCTCGTGAGAGGCTTGGCCCCAGCCAGAGGAACGTGGAATTT